GACAATTGTTTAGCACGATAGACGTGACAGTGTGTTACTATAACACGGAATAGGAGTGACAATTATTTAACACGATAGACGTGACAGTGTGCTATTATAACATGGAATAGGAGGGACAATTGTTTAGCACGATAGACGTGACAGTGTGTTACTATAACATGGAATAGGAGGGACAATTGTTTAACACGATAGACGTGACAGTGTGTTACTATAACACGGAATAGGAGTGACAATTGTTTAACACGATAAATGTGACAAATAAACTGTATTATACAATGAAAGGATCATATGCAGCACCAAATACATATTTACATGTTAAACGTGACATCTAAATCACATATGAAAAGTAAACTACAAGATTGATGTTATTTTTAATACGAATAGGCAAATGTATTACAGGAAAATGTATTGTGACTATGAATTGACTTGATAACTGTAAAATGGAATTAGAAGTAACATTTGTGACATCGAATATGTGACAACAGGTAGACTTGATATATGTGCCAACTGTAACTTTTGATAGGGGTGCCAACAGTTACTAAGTTTACAGGCTTGATATACGTGCCAACTGTAACCTTTGATAGGGGTGCCAACAGTTACTAAGTTTACAGGCTTGATATATGTGCCAACTGTAACTTTTGATAGGGGTGCCAACAGTTACTAAGTTTACAGGCTTGATTAACATGACAACGGTAACAGGGAACTGACCCTGTGAGTACTGTTAGGGGTGTTTTAGCTACATACAGATTGGACTCGCAAACTGTAGGACAAATCAATAATTTAAACTGGTGTTTTTTCGTTTTTATGCAACGCGAAAGGTTTCTGAATACTGGAATGTATAAAGAAGGTTAAACAGCTACTCACCAAGTGACACAGCTGAGAGCACCAGGAGCAAATTTGCCATGTTATCCCCAGGCGGCTGCTAACGAGTGTGGTTCTGCGAGTCTCGCCTCTCGTTTGTCGATATGGATTGTCACGATTCAAGCTTCGTAGGCAATGTAGTACAATCATTATTAATTTATCCGTGTCTTGGTTTGTAACATCTTAATGATTTTACAACACACAGGCATACTTAACGACATATGGTTCCTAACTGTGACCCGTATATCATTTTTAGGAAAGTTCCATGAGTTAAAATGTCAGTTATTGATGCAAGAATATCAAACTCTATCATGCCCAAGGGTGTATTCGTAGGAGAGAGAAATTTCACCCGAGATTTTCAAAATTGGGTAATATTTGAATCTAGCCGAGGGTTATACCCATGTATGAACAATCCCGAGGGTGGTATTCCCTCTCCTACACCCCTGGTCATAAAAAAATACATTTTTCTCTATTCCAATCGCAAGAAGTTTCTCAGAAACCACCAAAATGCGTCACAGCCCCGATTTCATGACGTCACATCATTGTTGTCTTATTGTGACATCAGGCACGTGAAATGGGGACACCATGACGTGTACATATTGTACATCTTTATGCCACCCTAAAATTCTTTTAATGGCACCTTATCACTCCGGACTATGTCGTTTATTGATGCATTTCCTAAATCAGTTAAATTATTTCGGTGGAATATCGTTGCTGGAACATATACTGTACTTGTAAATATATAATGAAAGAATTACAGGTACAGTCGTTAATTTAGGCACGAGTGTATTTAGATACCTTCTCATAAACAGCACACTTTTTTACATATGATGTGTATGATCAGATATTAAGCAGATTATTTACAATGTGAAAGATCTTTCTAGCTGTCTGTTAATCACAGGGACATAAGCATGCCCGTTATTAATAATAAATGATGCATTCTCGGGTTACATGAACATCTATTATGTAACAAACTAGGAAAACAGAGGAGAACAATTTACATAAGTATATTTATACTTTTTTCTGAATCCTGTGATTTGTTGTACAGGTACTGTGTGTATTTATGATTGACATATATCATTCTGAGATAAAATATGTTTTAACCTCAATACAGCAGGTAAACAGTATACAGACACTAATACAATATAGATAACAAGTCAAGTTTAAGCTCAATACAGTAGGTAAACAGTATAGAGACACCAATC